TCGAACCTCAGCTGTTTTGCGGGTGGCGTGATCTTGGGCAAAGCTCACTTACCTGAGTTTCGATCTTCCTTCTAAAATGGCTTCTCTATAAATCTGTGAGGCTTACGCGAGAGTACTGGTTGCTTCATTAATAGGCAAAGTTATCACGATTGGCTTTGATAGAGAAAAAGGCGACTGACAAATATACTGAAATGTTCTTTCCTTCCCGTAATCTGAATCTTTCCTTAACCTGCACGGAAAGGAGAAATGCGAGTGTAGCTGGGGAAGTGAGACGGCGAATGTCAAGCGCTTACCACGTTGGGCCGACTCAGGCTGACAGGGGGCCACAGAAATGCAAATACGTGAGCAGTGCCGGTAACTGCTGTCCTGAGGAAGAAGTCCCAAGTACAGGAATAAGAAATACCACAAGCACCGGTTTCTGCCCTGTGGTACTGCGCAGTGGTTGGTGTGAAGAGAGACGTAGGTGTGAAGGAGAACGCAGTTTTCCTCGTTAAAGGACAGCGAAGGCTACCTTTCTTCTTCCAAGAGGCATACTTTGTTGAAACTTTGTTTGTGAAATTAGGGTGATGGATAGTGAGTGACCACTAACTAACTCAGCTCCCTTCTTGTGAATCTTGGCCGCAGAAAACGTTTTTCCTTTCGTTTGCATTACTGAATAAAGTGTGTTTCTTACAAACTATTTTTTTGCAGGCAAGAGGCAGAGGGAAACATTTGCAAATCAGGCCTGAGTTTGCATTCTCATCTCTGTCACCTCCTATAAGCTATGGAGAGTTAGTCTTCTTACTTATCCTTAGTTTTCTTTCCTGTGAAATTGGGAAGACGATAACCTGTTCATGGGGCAATTAAGCTCAAACAGAATAAGGTGGGTAAAAAGCCGTATGTAACCTCCATAAAACTGCTAAGCTTTTTAAAGCCTATACAGAGACACGTTGTAGATGATAATATAGCAGGTGTTTATGATTTTAAAAATCAAGCTGTTTTTGGAATCCAAATTCTTCCTAAAGCTGCGGGAAACAGATCTAATCCCCTTTAGTGTCTTGGAAACTCCCTGGAGTAGTGGAGAAGGCCCGTTCTTTGAAGATGTTAAATCCTGGCTCTGCCCAATTAGTGTGAAACCTGAGCCAGTCATTTCACCACCTGGCTCTCCCTTTCCACATTTTTCAGAAAGGGGTAGCAAGTATACCTACTTTTCAGGCTTGCATAGGGAATTAAAGATAACATTAAAAACACTGCTCTGGTTATTTTATTTGGTGGGGGGATGGAGAGCAATGGCACAATCATAGCTCACTGCTCCAGCCTCCGCCTTTCAAGTAGCTGGGACCACAGGCTCCTGCCACTACACCCGGCTAATTTTTTAAATTTTTTTGAGACAGTCTCGATCTGTCACCAGGCTGAAGTGCAGTGGCGCAATCTCGGCTCACTGCAATCTCCACCTCCAGTGTTCAAGCGATTCCCCCTGCCTCAGCCTCCCCAGTAGCTGGGATAACAGGCGCACACCACACCCAGCTAATTTTTTTGTATTTTTTTAGTAGAGACGGGCTTTCACTATGTTGGCCAGGATGGTCTTGATCTCCTGACTTCGTGATCCGCCCGCCTCAGCCTCCCAAAGTGCTGAGATTACAGGTGTGAGCCACTGCGCCAGGCTGATAATTTGTAATTCTAACTGTCCCCTTCTGCAACTAATTATTAATTTTCAAATGTCCGTTTGGGAAAGCTCTTTGAGAGAGAAATTATTCTAGAATTTTACTAAATACATGTAAGATCTTGGTTTAGGTCCAAATTGTTGGCCCAAAGTTTGGCATAGGGAGTCCCAAAGGTTCAGTCAGTTGGGGAAATTAGTCCAAGAACAATAGAGAAGCAAATGAAAATAGAACCTGGCCAGGGCAGTGGTTTACGCCTGTAATCCCTACACTTTGGGAGGCCAAGGTGGGCAGACAACCTGAGGTCGGGAGTTTGAGACCAGCCTGACCAACATGGAGAAACTCTGTCTCTACCAAAAATACAAAATTAGCTGGGTGAGGTGGTGCATGCCTGTAATCCTAGCTGCTTGGGTGGCTTGAGACAGGAGAATCACTTGAACCTAGGAAGTGGAGGTTTTAGTGAGCTGAGATTAGGCCATTGCACTCCAGCCTGGACAACAAGAGAGAGACTCCGTCTCAAAAAAAATAAAGAAAAATAATAGAAACCAGCCGGGCATGGTGGCATGCCTGTAATCCAAGGCAGCAGGATCACCTGAGGTCAGGAGTTCTAGACTAGCATGACCAACATGGAGAAAACCCATCTCTATTAAAATAAAATTAGCTGGGCATGATGTCGCATGCCTGTAATCCCAGCTACTTGGGAGGCTGAGGCAGGAGAAGCACTTGAATTCAGGAGGTGGAGGTTGCAGTGAGCCGGGATCGTGTCATTGCACTCCAGCCTGGTCAACAAAAGTGAAACTCCATCTCAAAAAGAAAAGAAAATACTAAAAACCCAGAAATTATGAGAGCACCTGTGAGAGAGCTTAATGCCAGGCCATAACCTTTCAGGAGCCTCATGACAGAAGGCTGGATTGCACCTCTCTAAACGGGCTTTTTCCTACTCAGTTTTTCTTGCTCCAAGTTTTTTCTTTGTTGTTTTGAGACAGAATCTTGCTCTGTCACCCAGGCTGGAGTGCAGTGACAGGATCTTGGCTCACTAACTGCCCCCACCTCCTGAGTAGCTGGGATTACAGGCTCGTGCCTACACACCTGGCTAATTTTTGTATTTTTTTTTTGAGACGGAGTTTCGCCCTTGTTACCCAGGCTGGAGTGCAATGGCGCGATCTCGGCTCACCGCAACCTCCGCCTCCTGGGCTCAGGCAATTCTCCTGCCTCAGCCTCCTAAGTAGCTGGGATTACAGGCACGCGCCACCACGCCCAGCTAGTTTTTTGTATTTTTAGTAGAGATGGGGTTTCACCATGTTGACCAGGATGGTCTCGATCTCTCGACCTCGTGATCCACCCGCCTCGGCCTCCCAAAGTGCTGGGATTACAGGCTTGAGCCACCGCGCCCGGCCTTAATTTTTGTATTTTTAGTAGTAGAGATGGGGTTACACCATGTTGGTCAGGCTGGCTGGTCTCAAACTCCTGACCTCGAGTGATCACCCACCTTGGCCTCCCAAAGTGATGGGATTACAGGCTCGAGCCACCTGAAGTCAGGAGTTGTGATCAACTTTTTAATATTTTGTAGAGATGGACGTCTCACTATGTTGCCCAGGCTGGTCTTGAACTACTGGGCTCAGGTGATTCTGGCTCGGCCTTCCAAAGTTTTCAGATTACAGATGTGACTCACCATGCCCAGTCTCTAAGCTGTCCTAGCTATTATTATATTACTATATACTATTATCTTCTAATCTTTCCTAGCAAGACATTATTTTCATTGTAACTCAAATGGAATTGCCTTTCGTCCCTCCTAAATTTGTCAAAGCTGAGGATGGTAAATGCACACGACAGGAAAAAAGCATCAGGAAATTAGCTCAAATTATCTAGAAAGAATGCTTATTAATTTATCCTAAATACATAATTTATATAAATTTACATAATTATGTAAAAGTACTTAGGCCTAATTTACAGTAAGTATATATTAGTTACACTGTTAATTACAACCTTGAAGCTTACTAAATTATTTTAAAACTACTTGGCCACATTAACTTCAGATAAAAGTTGTCCCTAAAACACTGGCTTTGGTGTCGCATAAAGTAGAACTCCTTTTAAATTACGTTTTAATTGAGGCCAGGAGTGGTGGCTCATGGCCGTAATCCCTGGGAGGGATTACAGGGAGGCTGAGGCAGGTGGATCACGAGGTCAGGAGTGGAGACACACCTGGCCAACAGGGTGAAACCCGTCTCTACCAAAAAATACACAAAAATTAGCTTGGGAGGTTGAGGCAGGAGAATCGCTTGAACCCGGGAGGTGGAGGTGGCAGTGAACCGAGATTGCACCACTGCACTGCAGCCCAGACGACAGAAGGAGAATCCATCTCAAAAAATGAAGGAAGCTGAGGCAGGAGAATTGCTTTAACCCAGGAGGTGGAGGTTGCGGTGAGCTGAGATCGTGCCATTGCACTCCAGCCTGGGTAACAAAAGTGAAACTCCGTCTCAAAAAAAAAAAAATAAAATAAAATAAATAAAATAAATGAAAAATAAATGTTTTAATTGCAAAAATTAGAAAATGTAGAAAATAGGGCAAAAATACAAATTATCTGTGATTCTAATCCCAAGACACCCAACAATTTTCCTCATGTTTTTAGCATAAAGTCAAGTATTTAAATGACTACTGCTAGCTTTTAGTCTCTGCACTAGGAATCTCACATGCTTTCAAATGTTTTACAAAACACAGTATAAAAATATTTCAGCTTTTCGATCCGCCGTCTGCGGTGGAGCCGCCACCACAATGCAGATTTTCGTGAAAACCCTTAGGGGGAAGACCATCACCTCGAGGTCGAACCCTCGGATGAGATAGAAAATGTAAAGGCCACGATCCAGGATAAGGAAGGAATTCCTCTTGATCAACAGAGGCTGATCTTTGCTGGCAAGCAACCGGAAGATGGACGTACTTTGACTACAGCATTCAAAAGGAGTCTACGCTTCACCTGGTGTTGAGACCTCGGGGTGGTGCTAAGAAAAGGGTCTTACACCACTCCCAAGAAGAATAAGCACAAGAGAAAGGTTAAGCTGGCTGTCCTGAAATACTATAAGGTGGATGAGAATGGCAAAATTAGTCGCCTTGGTTGAGAGTGCCCTTCTGATGAATAATGGTGCTGGAATGCTTATGACAAGCCACTTTGACAGACATTATTGTGGCAAATGTTGTCTGACTTACTGCTTCAACAAACCAGAAGACAAGTAACTATAAGTTAATGAAAGACATGAACTTAAAAAAAAAAAGTATTTCAAAACGTCCCACTTACCCCTCCCACGCCTATTTTTAAGATTATTAGGATTGGCCCAAGTTTAAAAATTTCACAAAAAGAGTTTATTAATTACATTTTAAAAGGAAGGGTCGCAAAAAGATAAGCCTGGGATTTCTAGCTCGGGGGCCATGGGACCTCTCCCCTCCAAGTCCACGTTGTAGCAACCTGCCAGGTCCACGCATGGGCGGGTCCTAATCCACGGTTCCGGCTTGCGCTCCCTGTCAACTCACAGCCGGAGAGGCTCACGCACGAGCCCGGAAGTGAGGGAAAGAGGACTTTCGTCCGCAGCCGCCTCCGGGCTGGAACCTTGTCCTCAGTGCTTGGCCGCTGGCGGCGTAACTCGGGGTTTCGCCTCGGAACACCTCCCACTCCTCTGGTCTACGAGGAGCAGTCGCAAGCTGAGCTCAGAGCGAAGCGAGCAAGCTAAAGAGGGAGAGCCCTTAGCGGGCCCAGTCGGAATCGACTTCCCGTCCGGCCGCTGGAAAGCGACCGGAAGGAAGTGCGCCGCCTGCCCGACTGAGGCTGCGCGAACCCCGGGGTCTGGGCGGGGTGGTCCTCGTGCGCGCTGCGTCGCCGTGGAGACAGGGGCGGGCCCGTCGCGAGACCGGCGTCTGGAGGCGCGCGAAGCCTTGAGGTGGGCGTGGGTCGCGCGGGAGTGAGGGAGCGAGTCCTGGACCGCCGGCGCCTGCCGGGACTTCTTCCAGCGTAAGGCCGGCGAGCTCGGCTGCCCCAGGTAAGAGACCTGGCCCGAATGTCCCCAGTCTCCCAGGGGCTCGGCCTCTTCGGCTGTGAGCACGGCGAGGAGCTCCGTCGCGTCCTTCCGAGCGGGGCCAGGTGAAATGTGTCGGAGCCCCCCTTCCTCCCCTGGAAGTGCAGGTATGGCTGCCTACATGCGGGTCTCTGGGGCGGGAATGGAGGAAGCGCGACAGGAGGGCGCAGGATGGGGCCGGGGGCGCGCCGTCCTCTGCTGCCGCGTCTTTTAGACTTGTCCTCCGCCCGGGGGCACCGTGTCCTTCCAGGCGTGTCGTGCGCTCCTGGCCGGTGCTCCTTGGCGTGCGCCGATCCAAAATCAGGGATTTCTTCCTCCCGGCTGCGTGGCTCGGGAGCGGAAGGGCTGGTGTATGGGCGACCTTGCCCCACTGAACGCGCAGGGACCAACGCAGTAAACAAACCTTGAAGCCTTCCTCGAGAGAGAGGTGGGTGCGCGTTTTTATTTTGTGGGAGGCCGTTCAGATTTAACTGCTGTGTAGATGTGTCGTAAATACTTGTTGAATGATGTGAGGGATTTGAGTGCAGCCATACCTCACTATATTGCACTTCACAGATATTGTGGTTTTTACAAAATAAAAGTTCGTGGCAAGCAGCCCTGCACCAAGCAACTATTTTTCCAAGCATGTGCTCTCCCTGTCTCTCACATTTTGGTAATTATCTCTATATTTAAAACTTCATATTTTAGGTATATCGTTACAATAATCTGTGATCTTTGATGTAATTACTGCAATTGTTTTGGGTCGCCACGAACTGCACAGGTGTAAGACAGCAGACTAAAGTGTTCTGTCCGACTGCTCCACCTACCAGCCAGTTCCGTTTCTCTCCTCCCTCTCTGCCCTCCCTGCAGCCTGAGAGGCAACAATATTGAAATTAGACCAATTAATAGCCCCACAGTGGTTCCAAAATGTTCAAGTGAAAGGAAGAGTCCCATATCTCTCACTTTATATCAAAAGCTGGAAATGACTAGGCTTAGTGAAGGAGGCACATGAAAAGCTGAAAACTAGGCCTCTTGTACCATATAGCCAAGTTGTGTGAATACAAAGGAAAAGTTGCTGAAGGAAATTAAAAGTGTTACTCCTGGGAACACACCAGTAATAAAAAAAGCTAAACAGCCAGCCAGATACGGTGGCTCACGCATGTAATCCCAGCACTTTGGGAAGCCGAGGTGGGTGGATCACCTGAGGTCAGGAGTTTGAAACCAGCCTGGGCAACATGGTGAAATCCCGACTCTACTAAAAATACAAAAAATTAGCGGGGCATGGTGGCGCATGCCTGTAATCGCAGCTACTCAGGAGGCTGAGGTAGGATAATTGCTTGAACCTGGGAGGTGGAGGTTGCAGTGAGCTGAGATCTGGCCATTGCACTCTAGCCTGGATAACAAGAGTGAAACTCCATCTAAAAGAAAAAAGAAAACTAAACAGCATTATTGCTGAAGTGGAGAAGGTTTTAGTGGTCTTAATTGAAGATCAAACCAGCCACAACATTCTCTTAAACCAAAACTTAATCTCAAGCAAGTCCCTAATTCTCTTCAATTCTATGAGGGCTAGGAGAGATGAGGAAGCTGCAGAAGAAAAGTTGGAAGCTGGCCAGGGGCAGAGGCCTGTAATCCCAGCACTTTGGGAGGCTGAGGTGGGCGGATCACCAGCCTGGCCAAAATGGTGAAATCCCGTCTCTACCAAAAAAATTATCCGGGAGTGGTAGTGCATGCCTATATTCCCAGCTCCCCTAAAGAAGAATCACTTGAGCCTAGGAGGTGGAGGCTGCAGTGAGCCGACATGCTCCACTGCCCTCTAGTCTGGGTGACAGTAAGACTCTGTCTCAAAAACAACAATAACAAAAAAAAAAAAAAGGAAAAGTTGGAAGCCAGCAAGGATTTGTTTTTGTTTTGTTTTTTGTACACGGTTTCACCCTGTTGACCAGGGTGGTCTTGAACTTCCGCCCTCAGGTGATCCACCCGCCTTGGCCTCCAAAGTGCTTGGATTACAGGTGTGAGCCACCACACCTGGCCGATATTGTTTTTGTTTTTTGTGGGGTTTTTTTTTGAGATTTTCACTCTTGACGCCCAGGCTGGAGTGCAGTGGCGCAGTCTCGGCTCACTACAATCTCCATCTCCTGGGTTTAGTGATTTTTCTCCCTCAGCCTCCTGAGCAGCTGGGATTACAGGTGCTCACCACCACACTTGGCTAATTTTTGTATTTTTAGTAGAGAGGGGGTTTTACTATATTGTCCAGGCTGGTTTTGAATTCCTGACCTCGTGTGATTCACCCACCACAGCCTCCCAAAATGCTGGGATTACAGGCCTCAGCCACTGCTCCTGGCCTTTTTTTTTTTTTTTGAGACGGAGTTTTGCTCTTGTTACCCAGGCTGGAGTGCAATGGCGCGATCTCGGCTCACCGCAACCTCTGCCTCCTGGGTTCAGGCAATTCTCCTGCCTCAGCCTCCTGAGTAGCTGGGATTACAGGCACGTGCCACCATGCCCAGCTAATTTTTTGTATTTTTAGTAGAGACAGGGTTTCACCGTGTTGACCAGGATGGTCTCGATCTCTTGACCTCGTGATCCACCCGCCTCAGCCTCCCAAAGTGCTGGGATTACAGGCTTGAGCCACCGCGCCCAGCTTTTTTTTTTTTTTGAGACAGGGTCTTGTTCTGTTTTCCAGGCTGGAGTGCAGTGGTGATCATGGCTCATTGCAGCCTTGAACTTGTAGGTGCAAGTGATCCTCCTGCCTTAGCCTCCTGAGTACGTGGGTGTGTGATACTATGCATGGCTAATTTTTTTTTTTTTTTTTTTTTTTGAGATGAGGATCTTGCTAGTTACCCAGGCTGGTCTTGAACTCCTGACCTCAAGCAACCCTCCTGTCCTGGTCTCCCAAATTGCTGGGATTACAGGCATCAGCTGTAGCACCTGGCTGAGGTTGAAGGAAAGAAGCCATCTCCATAACATCAAAGTGCAAGAAATAGCAGCAAGTTATCCAGAAGATCTAGCTAAGATTTTTGATGATGGTGTCTCCATGGAACAGCTGATTTTCAGCATAGATAGAAACAGCTTTCTGTTGGAAGAAGGTGCCATTGTAGGACGTTCATGGCTAAAGAGAAGTCATTGCCTGGCTTCAAAGGACAGGCTGACTCTCTTGTTAGGGGCTAATGCACCTGGTGACTTTAAGTTGAAGCCAGTGTTCACGTACCATGCCAAAACTCCTAGGGGTTTTAGAAATTATGCTAATTTGGCCAGGTGCGGTGGCTGATGCCTGTAATCCCAGCACTTTGGGAGGCCAAGGTGGGCAGATGACGTCAGGAGATGGAGATCTTCCTGAAAACCCTGTCTCTACTAAAAATACAAAAAATTAGCTGGGCCTGGTGGAATGTACCTGTAATCCCAGCTACTCAGGAGGCTGAAGTAGGAGACTCACTTGAACCTGGGAGGTGGAGTTTGCAGTGAGCTGAGATCGCACCATTGCACTCTAGCCTGGCCGACAGAGCAAGACTCTGTCTCCAAAAAAAAAAAAAGAAAAATCAACATTAACAGGAGTTTGAAGAAGTTGCAGACCCTCATGGATGACTGAGAGACTCAGGACCTGAGTGGAGGAAGTAACTGCAGATGTGGCAGAAAAATCAAGTGAACTGGAATTAGAAGGGGAGCCTGAAAATGTGACCATATTGCTGCAATCTCATGACAAAACTTGAATAGATGAGGAGTTGATTCTTATGGATGAACAAATAAAGTAGTTTCTTGAGTGGAAATCTACCCCAGTGAAGATGCTATGAACATTATTGAAATGACAAAGGATTTAGAATATTACATAAACTTAGTTGAAAAATCAGTGGTAGGATTTGAGGGGATTGACTCCAATTTTGAAATATATTCTGTGGGTAAAATGCTATTAAATAGCATTACATACTATAGAGAAATCTTCAATGAAGAGTCCATTGGTGTGGCAAACTTCACTATTGTCTTATTTTAAGAAATTGCCAGGACAGGCGTGGTGGCTCACACCTGTAATCCCAGCACTTTGGGAGGCCAAGGCAGGCGGCTCACGAGGTTAGGAGTTCAAGACCAGTCTGGCCAGCATGGTGAAACCCTACCTCTTTGTATTTTTAGTATACAAATAGTAGGCTGGGCATGATAGCTCATGTGTAATCTCAGCACTTTGGGAGGCTAAGGCGGGAGGATTATGAGGTCAAGAGATCAAGACCATCCTAGCCAACATGGTAAAACCCCATCTGTACTGAAAATACAAAAATTAGCCGGGCGCGGTGGCTCAAGCCTGTAATCCCAGCACTTTGGGAGGCCGAGGCGGGTGGATCACGAGGTCAAGAGATCGAGACCATCCTGGTCAACATGGTGAAACCCCGTCTCTACTAAAAATACAAAAAATTAGCTGGGCATGGTGGTGCGTGCCTGTAATCCCAGCTACTCAGGAGGCTGAGGCAGGAGAATTGCCTGAACCCAGGAGGCGGAGGTTGCAGTGAGCCGAGATCGGGCCATTGCACTCCAGCCTGGGTAACGAGCGAAACTCCATCTCAAAAAAAAAAAAAAAAAAAAAAAAAGAAAGAAAATACAAAAATTAGCTGGGCATGGTGGCACGTGCCTATAATCCCAGCTACTCAGGAGGCTGAGGCAGGAGAATCGCTTGAACCAGGGAATCAATGGTTGCAGTGAGCCAAGAATCGCTTGAACTCAGGAGGCAGAGGTTGCAGTGAGTCAAGGTTGCTCCATTGCACTCCAGCCTGGGCAACAGAGTGAGACTCTGTCTCAAAAAACAAAACAAAACATAACGTTGATAGGAAAAAATCAATTCTGGATGGGTCCACTGTCTGTAGTTGGCATGTTCCTCATGCCTGCCTGAGTTTATGCTGGATGCTCTAGTTTCCTCCCATGTCCCCAAGATAAGCACATTTAAGTTCCTTTATGTGTCTAAATGATCCCACTCTGAGTGTGTGTGTGACTATGCAATGCCAGGAATGGCATCCTGTCCACAAGGATGAGTTCCCTCCTTGTGTCCTGAGCTGCCAGGATAGACGCTAGCTAGCCTTGACCCTGAACTGGAGTAAGTGGGTAAACAGTTACCTTACTTGTTCTTCTGAATCTTCTATACATGCATGTGTAGCTCATATTTATTTCAATGTTTAATATTAGAAGCGTTTGAAGTTTAGTGATGTTTTGTGTCCAGAAATACATAATAGGAACTTAACTCTTGTTTATATCAATTAACTTGTGGTAAAATTGGTTACTTTGTATATCGTTTTGCTTAAAGTTGTAGTGTCCAAGAACTTATGGATGACATTAAGTGAGGATGATGTTAAGTGAGGACTTACTGTACTTAGTTCTAGATGAGGCTTGATGATACTCAGGTTCAATTTTTTTTTTTTTTTTTTTTTTTTTAGGTGGAGTTTTGCTCTTGTTGCCCAGGCTGGAATGCAGTGTTGTGATCTCGGCTCACTGTAACCTCCACCTCCCAGTTTCAAGCAATTCTGCCTCAGCCTCCCATGTAACTGGGATTATAGGCGCCCACCACCATTCCCAGCTAATTTTTGTATTTTTAGTAGACACAAGGTTTCACCATGTTGTCCAGGCTGGTCTCAAACTCCTGACATCAGATGATCCACCTGCCTCGGCCTCCCAAACTGCTGAGATTATAGGCATGAGCCACCATGCCCGGCTAGGGCTAAAATCTCAGTTTTTTAGCGAGATTTCATCATGGATGGTAGCACTTAGAGTTTTTTTGTTGGTTTTGTTTTGGTCGCTTTCTTATTTGTCGGATGTCTTTTCCAAATTTTTTGTGATTCTTGATTATCCATTTATACTTAAGTGTAATTGAGAAATTATGGCTGAGCATGGTGGCTCACGCCTGTAATCCCAGCACTTTGGGAGGCTGAGGCAGGCAGATCACTTGAGGTCAGGAGTTCAAGACCAGTCTGGCCAACATGGCGAAAACCTGTCTCTACTAAAAAAAAAAAAAAAAATATATATATATATATATATATATGTATAAATTAGCTGGGTGTGGTGGTGTGTGCCTATGATTCCAGCTACTCAGGATGCTGAGGCAGGAGAATTGCTTGAACTTGGGAGGTGAAGGTTGCAGTGAGCAGAGATCGCATCACTGCACTCCAGCCTTGGCAAGAGAGCAAGACTCCATCTAAAATAAAAAACAAAACAAAACAAAATGAAAACTGGGCCAGGTGCAGTGGTGCCTTTCTGTAGTCCCAGCTACTTGGGAGGCCATGACAGGAGAATTGCTAGATCCCAGGAGTTTGAGATTGCAGTCAGCTATGATCACATCACTGCACTCCAGCTTGAGTGACAGAGAGGGACCATATCTCTACACACAACAAAAGCTACTTTGGGAGGCCAAGGTGGATGGATCAGTTGAGCTCAGGAGTTTGAGACCAGCCTGGGCACTACAGCAAGACCCTGTCTCTACAAGTAGTAAAAAATTAGCTCATCATGGTGTCACATACCTGTGGTCCCAGCTACTTGGGAAGCTGTGGTGGGAGGATTGCTTGAGCATGAGAGGTTGAGGCTGCAGTGAGCTGTGATAGTGCCACAGTACTTCAGCCTGAATGACAACATGAGACTCTGGATGACAATGTGAGAAAGAAAAAAGGCCGGGTATGGTGACTCATGCCTGTAATCCTAACACTTTGGGAGGCTGAGGTGGGAAGTTCACCTGAGCCTGAGGAGGTTGAGGCTGCAGTGAGCCGTGATTGCACTGCTACACTGCAGCCTGGGCAACAGAGGGAAATCCTGTCTTACACTTTTTTTTTTTTTTTTTTTGAGATGGAGTTTCGCTCTTGTTACCCAGGCTGGAGTGCAGAGGTTGCAGTGAGCTGAGATTGCGCCACTGCACTGAGGCCTGGGAGACAGAGTAAGACTCTGTCACTTTCTTTTTCTCAGACAGAGTCTTACTCTGTCTCCCAGGCCTCAGTGCAGTGGCGCAATCTCAGCTCACTGCAACCTCTGCCTCATGGGCTCAAGCGATTCTCCTCCCTCAGACTCCTGAGTAGCTGGGATTGCAGGTATCTACCACTGTGCCTGGCTAATTTTTATATTTTTAGTAGAGACAGGGTTTCACCGTGTTGGGCAGGCTGGTCTTGAACTCCTGACTTCAGGTGATCCAACCGCCTTGGCCTCCTAGAGTGTTGATACTACAGGCGTGAGCCAATGTGCCTGGCCAGAAATCTTGTCTTTAAAAAAGGAAAGAGCCGGGCACGGTGGCTCAAGCCTGTAATCCCAGCACTTTGGGAGGCCGAGGCGGGTGGATCACAAGGTCGAGAGATCGAGACCATCCTGGTCAACATGGTGAAACCCCGTCTCTACTAAAAATACAAAAAACTAGCTGGGCATGGTGGCGCGTGCCCGTAATCCCAGCTACTTAGGAAGCTGAGGCAGGAGAATTGCCTGAGCCCAGGAGGCGGAGGTTGCGGTGAGCCGAGATCGCGCCATTGCACTCCAGCCTGGGTAACAAGAGCGAAACTCCGTCTCAAAAAAAAAAAAAAAAAAAAAAAAAAAGGAAAGAAAGAAAATGAAAACTATACACAATAACACTGATAACCATAAAAATTAATGTGGGGGAAAAATAAGAAATCTTGGCCTTTACTGGTGTTTTTGTGAAGGGAAGTTGAAGGTGCTGAAGCATCTAGACAGGAAGAAGGAGCTAGGTACACCTTTTTTTTTTTTTTTTTTTTTTTTTGAGATGGAGTTTCGCTCTTGTTACCCAGGCTGGAGTGCAATGGCGCGATCTCGGCTCACCGCAACCTCCGCCTCCTGGGTTCAGGCAATTCTCCTGCCTCAGCCTCCTGAGTAGCTGGGATTACAGGCATGATTACAGGCGCCCGGCCCTAGGTACACCTTTTGAATATGGCTCACTCTCCTCTCAGTTTCCTTTCTTAGAAAATGACATACTGCAGCGCTGGGCACGGTGGCTCAAGCCTGTAATCCCAGCACTTTGGGAGGCTGAGGCGGGTGGATCACAAGGTCAAGAGATCAAGACCATCCTGGTCAACATGGTGAAACCCCGTCTCTACTAAAAATACAAAAAGTTAGCTGGGTATGGTGGCACGTGCCTGTAATCCCAGCTACTCAGGAGGCTGAGGCAGGAGAATTGCCTGAACCCAGGAGGCAGAGGTTGCGGTGAGCCGAGATCGCGCCATTGCACTCCAGCCTGAGTAACAAGAGCAAAACTCCGTCTCAAAAAAAAAAAAAAGAAAAAAAAAATGACATACTGCAGATGACATGATCTTATATCTAGAAAACTCCATCATCTCAGTTCAAAAACTTCTTAAGCTGATAACCAACTTCAGCAAAGCCTAAGGATACAAATCAATGTGCAAAAATTGCAAGCATTTCTAAACACCAACAGGCAAGCAGAGAACCAAATCATGAATGAACTCCTAGTCACAGTTGCCACAAAAAGAAAAATACTAGGAATATAGCTAACAAAGGATGTGAAAGACCTCTTCAAGGAGACCTACAAACCACTGTTTAAAGAAATCAGAGGTGACACAAACAAATGGAAAAACATTCCATGCTCATGGATAGGAAAAATCAGTATTATGAAATGGCCATATTGGCCAAAGCAATTTACAGATTCAATGCTGTTACCATTAACTACCATTGACATTCTTCATATAATTAGAAAAAACTATTTTAAAATTCATATGGAACAAAAAAAGCATGAATAGCTATGACAATACTAAGCAAAAAGAATAAAGCTGCAGGCATCATGCCACCCAACTTCAGACTATACTACAAGGCTACAGTAACCAAAACAGAATGGTACTGGTGCAGAAACAGAAATACAGACCAATGGAACAGAATAGAGAACCCATAAATAAGACCACATGCCCACAACCATCTGATCTATGACAAATCTGACAAAAACAAGCAATGGGGAAAGGAGTCCCTATTTAATAACAGGTGCTGGGAGAATTGGCTAGCTATATGCAAATGTTGAAGCTGGACCCCGTCCTTACACCATATACAAAAACCAACTCAAGCCATCTTGAGTTGGTTTTTGTATATGGCGTAAGGAAGGGGTCCATACTATATATATAGTTTTGGGTTTTTAACCCAAAACTATAAAAACCTTGGAAGAAAATCTAGGCAATACCATTTCAGACATAGGCATAGGCAAAGATTTCATGACAAAGATGCCAGAAGCAATTGCAACAAAATCAAAAATTGACAAATGGGATCTAATTAAACTAAAACACTTCTGCACAGCAAAAGAAACTATCAGAATAAACAGACAAGCTATAGAATGGGGAAAAGTTTTGCACTCTATCTATCTGACAAAGGTCTAACAACATGAGAAAAAAACAACCCCATTAAGAAGTGAGCATAGGACATGAACATACACTTTTCAAAAGAAGGCATACATACAGTGAACAAATGTGAAAAGAAGCTCAACATCGCTGATTATTAGAGAACTGCAAATCAAAACCATACTGAGGCTGGGTGCTGTGGCTCACCCCTGTAACTCCAGGACTTTGGGAGGCCAAGGTGGGCGGATCAGTTGAGGTTAGGAGTTTGTGACCACTGTGGCCAACATGGTGGAATCCTGTCTCTGCTGAAAAATACAGAAATTAGTCAGGCATGGTGGCAGGTGCACGTAATCCAACTACTTGAGAGGCTGAGGCAGGAGAATCACTTGAGCCCAGGAGGTAGAGGTTGCAGTGAGCTGAGATTGTGCCACAGCATTCCAGTCTGGGTGACAGAGCAAGACTTAGTCTCAAAAAATTTAAAAATGTAATTAAAAAATAATATTTTAAGTCAGAGACCTATCCCATGTTAATCTAGTGTTGAATTACAGAGGGCAGAAGACTAGGAACTGGCATGTGGCTATTCACAATGTGGCTCCTGAGAGAGTACAAATAATTTTCTCTTTTATTTAGTTAGAAGGGGAAAATGAAAGACTTTGATTCATGATGAATCTGCTCACCGAGAAGTGTCTGTCAAGCCACTGGTTGAATTTCCATCAAAAAAATGATTAAACAGAGAATGGAGAAGAAGGTTGATTCCAGGTGAGTGATGGAACTTGAGAAAAAAAATGTAACTGGAATGATGGTTCATATAAAACTGTAAACATTTTGTGTAAGAAAAAAATAAATTACAAATAGTGAGGTAGTAATTATGGGTATTTTCTTTTGTCATTGTTATTTTGAGTTTCTCATCTATAAGATATGTAAATTTTGTACATTATGTTACAGTCAAAAACCATTCTGAGTGCATGGAAATGTCAGTCATTAAAATTCTGTTTTTGAGCAGAAGTGAGTATGATTTTCATTAGTTTTGAAGTTATATCTTCAACGTTGGCTCTTGTGTCTGTCTTCTACTTTTGATCATGGTTGCTTTCAGACTTTTACCTTTTGCTGGCTGTGTGTCTCCACTGAAACTCTCAGCACCTTATAATGTGGCAGACTCTGTATAATTCTCCCTTTCTGGATTTTGGTAATTGTTCCCTCCCTTCATCTCTTTGGGCTTAGAGGTAGTACCAGCTTAGCTTCTGCTATCTTCAGGTTCCTGCACTGTTCCTTGTGGTTCCTCCATACTCACAAGTTTGTAAATATATCATCTTCAAATTACTCTTTTTTTTTTTTTTTTTTTTTTTTTTTTTTGTGACGGAGTTTCGCTCTTGTTACCCAGGCTGGAGTGCAATGGCGCGATCTCGGCTCACTGAAGCCTCCGCCTCCTGGGTTCAGGCAATTATCCTGCCTCAGCCTCCTGAGTAGCTGGGATTACAGGCACGCGCCACCATGCCTAGCTAATTTTTGTATTTTTAGTAGAGACGGGGTTTCTCCATGTTGACCAGGGTGGTCTCGATCTCTTGACCTGGTGATCCACCTGCCTCGGCCTCCCAAAATGCTGGGATTACAGGCTTGAGCCACCGTGCCCGGCCCAAATTACTCTATTTTTAGTATGTCATCTATTTTCTTGCGACCTTTCATAGATTTTATGAATGTTACTGGATTTTATCACATGGTTTTTCTATATTTATTAAGATAATCGTGTGATTTTTGTTCTTTTTTTTCTATTATCCTGTATTACATAGATTGATTTTTGGATGTTAAACCAACCTTGCATTCCTGGGATAAATCCCACTTGGTCATGGTGTTTATATGATATATAGTTGTATTAGGGTCTTCTAGAGGGACAGAACTAATAAGACATATATATATATATATATATATATATATATATATGAGTTTATTAAGGAAAATAGACTCACACGATCACAAGGTGAAGTCCCATGATAGGCAGTCTGCAAGTTGAGGAGCAAGGAAGCCAGTAGCGGCTCAGTCCGAGTCCCAAAACCTCAAAAGTAGGGAAGCCAACAGTGCAGCCTTCAGTCTGTGGCCAAAGGCTTGAGAGCCCCTGGCATATCATTGGTGTAAATCCAAGAATGCAGCAGCCAAAGAACTTGGAGTCTGATGTTCCAGGGCAGGAAACATTCAGCATGGGAAAAAGATGAAGGCAGAAGACTTAATCCCACCTTCTGCCTGCTTTTTCTAGCAGTGCTGGCCCCCTATTGGATGGTGCTCACCCACGTTGTAGATGGGTCTTCCTCTCCTAGTCCACTGACTGAAATGTTAATCTCTTCTGACAATACCCGGAAACATCCAGATCCACCCAGAAACAATACTTTTCGTCCTTCAATTCAGTCAAGTTGACTCTTAATTTTAACCATGACAATGGTTTTTATATGTTGTTGGATTTGGTTTGCTACTATTTTTTGAGGATTTTTATGTCTATAGTCATGAGGTATATTGGTCTTTTTTTTGTTTTTGGTAATCTCTGTCTTTGGTATGATGGTGATACTCGTCTCAATGAATTTGGAAGTATTCCTCTATTTTCTGGAAGAGTTTGTGGAGTACTGTTACTATATTTTATTTATTTGTTTATTTTTGAGATGGAGTCTTGCTCTGTAGCCCAGGCTGGAGGGCAGTGGCGCAGTCTGAGCTCACTGCAACTTCCGATTCCCAGGTTTAAGTGATTATCCTGCCTCAGCCTCCCTAGTAGCTGGGATTATAGCACCTGCTATCACACCAGTCTGATTTGTTTGTTTGTTTGTTTGTGATGGAGTCTCACACGGTTACCCGGGCTGAAGTGCAATGGCACAATCTCAGCTCACTGCAACCTTCACCTCCCCAGGTTCAAGCAATTCTCCTGCCTCAGCCTCCCAAATAGCTGGGATTACAGGCGTCTATCACCACGCCCGCCTAATTTTTTGTATTTATTATTATTATTATTTTTGTATTTTGTTGAGATGGGGTTTCACTATTTTGGCCAGGCCAGTCTCGAATTCCTGACCTCGTGATCCACCCGCCTCAGCCTCCCAAAGTGCTGGGATTACAGGCGTGAGCTACCACACCTGGCCCCTTTGGTATTTTTTTTTTTTTTTTTTTTTTTTTTGAGGCAGAGTCTCACTCTGTCGCCAGGCGCCAGGCTGGAGTGCAGTGGCACAATCTTGGCTCACTGCAACCTCCGCCTCCTAGGTTCAAGCAGTTCTTCTGCCTCAGCCTCCCAAGTAGCTGGAACTACAGGCTCACGCACCATGCCCAGTTAATTTTTTTATTTTTAGTAGAGACGGAGTTTCACCATGTTGGCCAGGATGGTCTCGACCTCATGATCCGCCCGCTTCGGCCTCCGAAAGTGCTGGCATTACAGGCTTGAGCCACCAGGATGGTCTCGATCTCTTGACCTCGTGATCTGCAACGCTTCGGCCTCCCAAAGTGCTGGGATTACAGGCTTGAGCCACCGCGCCCAGCCCCACTTTGGTATTTTTTAGTAGAGATGGGGTTTTGTCATGTCAGCTAGGCTGGTTTCTAACTCCTGACCTTGGGTGATCTGCTTGCCTCAGCCTCACAAAATGCTGGGATTACAGGCGTGAGCCACTGTGCTCTGCCTATTACTTCTTTTAAAATCTTTCATATAGGCCGGGCGCGGTGGCTCACGCCTGTAATCCCAGCACTTTGGGAGGCCGAGACGGGTGGATCACGAGGTCGAGAGATCGAGACCAACGTGGTCAACATGGTGAAACCCCGTCTCTACTAAAAATACAAAAAATTAGCTGGGCATGGTGGCGTGTGCCTATAATCCCAGCTACTCAGGAGGCTGAGGCAGGAGAATTGCCTGAACCCAGGAGGCGGAGGTTGCGGTGAGCCGAGATCGCGCCATTGCACTCCAGCCTGGGTAACAAGAGTGAAACTCCGTCTCAAAAAAAAACAAAAAAACAAAACAAGAAAAAAAAACTTTCATATAATTAAACACTGAAACTATCTTTGCTTTTTTTGGTAGGAATATTTATTTATTTATTTTAGAGACAGGATCTTGCTCTGTTGCCCTGGCTGGAGTACAGTGGCATGATCACAGCTCAATGAAGTTTCTAACTTCTGGACTCAAGCAGTTTTGCTACCTCTGCCTCCCAAAGTGCTGGGATTATCTTGTGAGCTACCAAGCCCGGCCGTTTTTTTTTTTTTTTTTTTTTTTTTTTTTTTTTTTTTTTTTGAGACAGAGTTTCGCTCTTGTTACCCAGGCTGGAGTGCAATGGCGCGATCTAGGCTCACCGCAACCTCCGCCTCCTGGGTTCAGGCAATTCTCCTGCCTCAGCCTCCTGAGTAGCTGGGATTACAGGCACGCGCCACCACGCCCAGCTAATTTTTTGTATTTTTAGTAGAGACGGGGTTTCACCATGTTGACCAGGATGGTCTCGATCTCTCGACCTCGTGATCCACCCGCCTCAGCCTCCCAAAGTGCTGGGATTACAGGCTTGAGCCACCGCGCCCGGCTCCTAGCCTGGCCTTTTTATAGGAAAAATTTTAACTACTCATTTAATTTTTTTACTTGTTAGAGATCTATTAAGTTTCCATTTCTTCATTTTGTTTGTTTTTTGAGATGGAGTCTCATTCTGTCGCCCAGGCTGGAGTGCAGTGGCGCAGTCTTGGCTCACTGCAACCTCTTTCTCCCTGGTTTAAGCAGTTCTGCCTCAGCCTTCTGAGTACTTGGGTTTATAGGTGCATGCCACCACGTCTGACTGATTTTTGTGATCTTAGTACAGTTGGGGCTTTACGATGTTGGTCTGGCTTGTCTTGAACTCCTGACCTCAAATGATCCACCTTCCTCAGCTACCTAAAGTGCTGGGATTTCAAGCGTGAGCCACCATGCCCAGCTCTATTTCTTCTTGAGTTAATTTTGCTAATTTCAGCTTTTTGGAATTGTTTCCGTTTCATTTAAGTTATCCAGTTTGTTGGCATAAAGTTAATTGTATGCCCTTATAATTCTTTTAATTTATTAAGTAAGGGTCAGTGGTAATGTCCTCTCTCTCATTCCTAATTTTGGTGATCTCTGTCTTCTCTCTTTTTTCATTGGTTCATCTAGGTAAAGTCTTGTCAGTTTTGCTCAGGAACCTTTACTGTTAAGCTTTTTTTTTTTTTTTTTTTTGAGACGGAGTTTTGCTCTTGTTACCCAGGCTGGAGTGCAATGGCACAATCTCGGCTCACCGCAACCTCCGCCTCCTGGGTTCAGGCAATTCTCCTGCCTCAGCCTCCTGAGTAGCTGGGATTACAGGCACGAGCTACCATGCCCAGCTAATTTTTTGTATTTTTAGTAGAGACGGGGTTTCACCATGTTGACCAGGATGGTCTCGATCTCTCGACCTTGTGATCCACCCACCTCGGCCTCCCAAAGTGCTGGGATTACAGGCTTGAGCCACCGCGCCCGGCCCTGTTAAGCTCTTTTTTAAACTAAGTTGAATTGGGTTCCTGTAGCTTGCAATTTAGGGTGCTGCTAATTTATGCAAGTTTCTTATAGCATCCACTGTGGGTCCTGGGCAAAATGGTACTGAGGAGTGTTTGAGGGACCTATTCAGCAGGTATTATGGACCCCTTCTTCCTGAGCAATGCCATCTTTGTGCTTCAAAATTTTGTCTTGGGAGAATGAGTTTGGTTGGTCCAGCAAGGGTCAGTTTTCTCCCCCTGCTGTAATCAACTAGGAGTTGGAGGAAGGTCATGGAGTTCAAGCATAG